TACAACAGAAACAGACTACAACCTCGTTATTTAAAGACAAGTGTAAAATGAAGCATCAGTCAGTCATTTACAACGTAAAACTTCATAAGTACGTAGATCAGTTCAAGTTACCATACCACTTTAGCACAGAGATGCAATTTTCAATTCAGATACCATAGAAGTAGAGATACTAGAAGTACTAGCTGTAATCGGAGAGATTAGGGTTAGAAGATATTATTCAAGAAGTAGAATCTAGTGAAATAAACTTGAAAAGAAGTGAAATAGTGAAATAGACTTAGAAAGATAAAGATAAAGTGATGAAGTTTAGGATTTGAGAGAACACAAAGAATAAATGCACCGGCTCCACTGCAAACGATTTCGAGCCTTGTCATTCGATATATCTAACCATCGATTACCATCATCTCGCGGGCCCCAACCAAGTAGTCGACACAGACCAACATGATTCAATCCATTTGTCAGTAACTTCATGGATTTGCGCTATGTTTTGGTTTGGCCGCTCCTAACTTTCTCCCAACCTACTCCTACACTACAAAACAAAGCTCTTCGAGGCAGTCGGTGGTTAGGCATACGATACACATGTCCCAATCACCTCAACTGATGAAGTTTCAATACTTCACATCTATTGATCTGCTATCCTTAGCTAGTACACCTGTTTCCTAAAATCCCGAGAAAAAACCATCATCATCTCATTAAATAATGAGAAAAAGAAAACAAAAACGAAAACAATTTCACAAACCTTGCAAGTCGAGCACCTAAATAAGCTGGATAACCAGAATCTGCAGGCATTTCCGCCAATCGACCAGATATTTCACGTAATGCTTCAGCCCAACGACTAGTTGAATCAGCCATCATACTAACATTATAACCCATATCACGAAAATATTCGGATAATGTGATCCCGGTATAAATAGATGCTTCACGAGCAGCTACAGGCATATTAGATGTATTTGCTACAAGAGCTGTACGTTGCATAATCGATTCTTGTTTACCATTCACTTCAACTGTTAACTGTATAAAGTTTATAGAAAAATTCAAATAATAAGTTACTCATAGTATGATTAAAAACACAGTTAATAATGAGGTGTCAGAAAAGTTTTTTTTACGAAACATGATCTAAGACCTCTTCGTGGCGCAACTGGGTGGGCATTCTCGACAAAGATTGGACTAATCAACCACTCAGAATCTACTATACCTTCTCAAAATAACTATATTCCATCTGCAATGGAGCTTTTCGTAGGTTACACCTAGATCGAAAGATTAATATGTTTAACTGAATTCAATTTGTGACACTTTATGCCTCAATGACAAGTGGACTGAGTCATGTCGGTAGATGTAGGCTATCTGGTTGGGGTCCGCGAGATGATAGTCAGCAATGGCTACAGACCTTGAATGATAAGGCTCAGAATCGTTTGCAATAGCACAAGTGCATCCACTCTTTGTGTTCTATGAAAATCTAAGCTTCTGAATTCCTCATAATCTCTATCTTTCTCCTTCTAAATTTATCTTACTGAATTATATTTCTCGAATCAGATCTTCGCTCCCTAATCTTCTTCATTACTGCTAATACTTCTATTATTGCTATCACTCTTGGATTTGAACTTGGAGTTGCGTCTTTGTGCTGAAGGGGCATTGCAACCTGAACTGATGTACTTATGTACGAAGTTCTGCGTTGTATCTGTCTGTCTGTCTGTCTGTCTGAAAATATCGATTTATCTTCCTTTGTTGCTCTACTTTTTCAGATTACTATTCTATGCATGTGGACAAAATAACATGACACGATTATAGGTGGATTTCATTAGTCTTTATTAAACTTTTCATGGGATTTTAATAACGTTGAAATGAAACTAATATATATATATATATATATATATATATATATATATATATATATATATATATTGACAAAAGAACAGAACATGAAAGAAACAGTTCAAAAGGACAATATATATATGTATGTGTCCTCGTATCAATTGTTTTTACAAACTAATAGATTTACACATTACTACCAAGAATAATTAAAATGATCATATTATTATTATTATTATTATTATTATCAAGTAATCTACAAAAATAGAAAAACAAATCAATAGTGCATAGTGTAATTATTGATAATCAAAGTTAAATGCACATGCATTGAAATTATCATAACATTCATTGTACCACCCTAAACATTCTGCTTTATACTGCTCAGTTTGCATATCAAATGAGATGTATGTGTATGTGTATGTGTGTGTGCGTACGTGCGTGTGCGTGTTTATGTGAGTTATGTAGTGTAGATTTTGTCCTCAAGGATCAGTTTTAATTTTATGTTAGTATTAACCAGTTTAGATTAATTGCACGGTAATAATAATAATGATAATAATAGACTATAGATAACATCTAAGTCAGTCAGTCAGATGCAACGTAGAACTTCGTACTTAAGTACATCAGTTCATGTTGCCACACCACAACAGCACACAGAGATATAATTGTCAATTCAAATCCAATAGTAGTAGAGGTAGTTAAGGTATTAGAAGTAATCGGAGAGGTTAGGATTAGAAGATATTATTCAAGAAGTATGATTCAGTGAGAAAAGTTTGGAAAGTCAAAACTAGAGGGGTTGAAGAATCCAGAAGATTAGGATTTGAGAGAACATAAAGAATAAATGCACCGGCGCCATTGCAAACGGTTTTGAGCCACGTCATTCAGGGTCTCTAACCATCGAATACTAACATCTCGCGGACCCCACCCACGTAGCCTAAATCTACCAAAATGACTCAGTCCACTTGTCAGTGACTTCATGAATTTGTGCCATATTTTGGTCTGACCACCCCTAGCTTTCTTCCAACCTATTCCTACACTACAAAACAAAGTTCGTCGAGGCAGTCGGTGGTTAGGCATACGCAACACATATCCCAACCACCTCAAGTGATGAAGTTTCATTACTTCATCTATTGATCTGCCATTCTTACCTAGCACGCTTTTTGTTAATTAAGCATCCTTCCATTCAAAATTGATTAAAAAATAACTAAGAGTATTCATTCATGAAGTCATTAAATGTAGGTGTAAGCCATGTTGATAGGCGTAAACTTCTTTTATTGTGACATATCTTAATAATTTTAATATGTAGTTTAAAAGGTTTATTGATATACCACACTTCTACTCATTCGTTATGATCCTAATTAGCTTAAGTTTAGTATTGATCCTATTGTGTTTCTCATGTTCAGATTTCCGACGCCATACACGTTAAACAGAATGATTGAAAATGTTCTTGCGGGAACGTTCAATGTTCAACTGACAAATAACACGTAATAATAATAATAATAATAATAATAATAATAATAATAATAATAATAATATGCTCCCCAGATTACAGTACCAATATCAATAATAACAATGAAAATGACAATGACAATCAATCAATCAATCACCTCTGGAAAATCACGTAAAACTTCTGACATCTCATTGCCACGTTCACCACAACCAACATAGACAATAATATCCGAATTGGAATATTTTGATAACGATTGAGAAATCACTGTTTTACCACAACCAAATGCTCCAGGAATTGCAGTAGTCCCACCTTGTACGCATCTATAAATTTATAAAAGGAGTTCTCATTTCACCAATTGTTTGCAATATGAAGTATAGAATGAATGAATGAATGAATGAATGTAGACAATTGAACGGAATGTATTATACGTTAAATCGATAAACAACAGATCTCTTGCAAATTCTCTTCAATATATTATTATCTAGTCCATTAAATTGGGTCATTAATGCTAAAGTATGCTTACAAAATGACTTCACATAATCGGCAAACAGCTTTGAAATATCGGATTTTGAGCGGTATTTTTTTCAAACTGGTAATAGTGAATTTAATGTCAGAACTATTTAACATTTTTCAACTCAATTTATGTTTTTTTTCTATGACGGGACAGTTTTTTTTCTTCAAATTATTACTAATTTTAGTTTTGTTGTATTGTGGTGTGTACTACTTACAAAGTAGTTTATAAGTAGTAAGGAGTGAAGTGTCAGACTGAAGTTGTAATGAACGAAGACAGTAAGACCGGATGGGTTAAGTGATTTGTTTGAAAAAGACGCGGTTCATTAGTCAAAATGTGTACACATTATCTTTAAACATCCATTTGCAAAACAAGGGGAATATCAGCTTGTCTTCTCTCACGTCTTCCAGTCTTCAAAGCACTTTGATCGCGCTATGCATCCGGATATGAAACTGTTCTCTTCAGTAGTAACTTCAGAGTGAAACACCACTGCATACTACTTATAAGCCAGATTGTAATTGGTACACACCACATTCACCCTCAGTCAAAACTATCAAGCGTCTAAACGCCGACTTTCGTAGTTCTGTCGACCAGCTGGGGGAACAAACTCCGCTACGAGCCGAGCAACTAGATTACTATGTATAGGTATTCGTACTGTCATAAGCTTTCGCGTTACCCTTTAAACTTCTATAATACGATTAACTATTCCAATTTTTCATCCGTCTATTATTTACAGTCACCTCCATTCACAGGCACTTTTGGCTTGTTTATGTATAATTGTTTATGATTTGATGTGGTTTAGCATGTTTGTATACAAACTACGTCTGCTTAAAGTATAAAAATAGCAGAAGTTGGTTGCTGACTTTTGAACTCAAGGCAGGGTAGAGAGAGAGAGAGAGAGAGATTTTCGCGAATATATGGTGAGTAAATAAACGGGTGAGTAAGAACCAAGCTGTTGGTCAATAATAGTGTTGGCCAGTTATATGCTTGGTCAATTTGTGGACACTACGCTATCGAGGGAATAGTAGATGCGAATAGATCAAATTAGAATTAGGATTTCAATTGGCGGCTAGACACGGTTTCAAGACGTATGTGACGCATAAGAAGTAGAATCGATGCATACCTGTACTAGATAATAATAATAATATGCCATTATTGATGAAGTTAGAAGGACTGAAGATAAGGGACTATCTACTCAAGATTAAATTGAACAGTACAAAGTGCATGGATATATTGTTTACTTACTCAATATCGCCGGACTTTGACATAAAATTATTCTTATCAAAAACAGTGCAAAACCATATAGTCAGATACTTGAGA